CCTATCTTCAGCTAGTTTGTCCTCTTTGAGCTGTAGAGTACTCATCTCTAGACTGGGTTTAATATTTCTTTTCAGGTGTTGAGGATTAACTGGATAATGCATGGAAAGTGCTTAGGATCGTGCCTGGTGCAGAGGAAACACTGAGTGGTGACAGTAATATGCTGATGGTAGCATCAGACAGTTGGACCGTGGTTTGTTCTGAGAGCTTCCAGTGATTCTGTGTGGCTGAATCGTAGGGTACAAAGCTGCAGTAGGTGGTGATGGGTGGCAAAACACATAGACTTGACAGGTAGGCAATTTTCCAGGTATTTTGAGTATATAAAAGTTTGAGGCAATTAATAATGGGCTATAAAGGCAGGACATTTCCATGGTAATATGTTAAGATATGTCACAAATGGTTCTGGGAAAACTTAGGTCCATATTGGAAAATTGGCTCAATATGGCATTTTCAGAACTGTTATGTGTTCTAAATTAGCAGTGTGTATTAATAGGACTTTTTTTTTCAGTTCCTTTAGCCAAGTAGTTAAAACTGTTGGGTGTCTCAAAGAGAAGTCTCAAGGTAGTCTTAAATTCTCTGGAAATTGCTACAGCATTAAGTGTTTATAGGCTTAATGAAGATATTAAGGGTTGCTTGGCCATTTGCATTTAGAGGAGACACTTTTTAATTTAATTTCTGATTTTCAGAGAAATAGAAAATGTTCCATCTGCAGAGGCTTCACTGGCCCTTAAAGTAACTTATTATGTTTGTTGGTATGTTATATAACTTGTCACAACATTAGTCACCACTTCTTCCATAAGGCAACATGTAAACGAACATGGATAAGCATGACTATAACTTATAATTATAGACCAATTTGTTCTTAACATTTTAGTCAGCATTTTGCTTGCTTGCTTTTTGAGAAAATGTTATAATTCTTGGCTCCATGTACTAGAACTCTGCCAGCTATTTGAACTGAGTAAAAATCTTAGGTAACTTATTTATTACTTATTAGAGTGAGGCAAAAACCACAGATAGTAGTAGAAAAGAGGTAGAAGCTTCATTGTTTCTACAAATGCCGTTTTCTTCTTTTGAAATGTATCCTTTATTGCAAAAGCATTGTTGAAAGGATGAATTGTTGAGGTATACCCTATGTTTGTTTTATCTTGTGATACTAACTTATTTGGAAGAATTCTATTTACCTAGATTAGTAGGTCTTAAATGTGTGGTCACTAGTCCAGCCGCATTGGTATATGTTAGAAATGTCTGAGGTTGGCAATTGTTAGAAGTGCTAGAATGGGGGGACCCTACTCCAGAAATTCTGGAGGAGGAGTTGTGATATAGGAGATAGGGTAGGGCAGAGCTTGCTGGGGAAATAAGCAGGACCTGTCAATTACAAGATCCCAGGATAGTGTCAAGTAATTCCTAGGACTCTGTATATGAAACTTCTTGCAGGTTCTCAGGAGATGAGGATGGCGTAGAAGAGAAGCGCTCATGCGACTCTTCACAGTGGTCTACCCTGCATGTCCTAGATGCAGGACACATTTTTATTTTTCTTCTTTCTTTTGTTGGGCCCACGTTTGCTCTACAGAGCTAGTTCTTACACCTTCATTCCTCACTTTTCTTTCTTTCTTTCTTTCTTTTTTTTTGCGGAACCTGGGATTGAACTCAGGTCCTTGTGCTTGCCAGGGAAGTGCTTATTCCACTGAGCCATCTCCCCAGCCCAATTCCTCACTTTTTAGTAAGCTTTGGCATTGTTTTTGGCTTGCCTTGTCCAATTCTCTGTTCTAGGCAAGAAGGATCTGGAATGCTTTTGATTGGTGAGCCATTTCTGAAGCAACTACCTGACAGAAGTTGGAAATGTATCATTTAATTGTTCTCCCTGGTGATCATAATCAATACCAAGGTTGAGAGTCATGGAATTACATGATCATATTCATTTATTGAAATCTTACATCCTGGGGCTGGAGAGATAGCTCAATGGTTTGGGCACCTGCCTGGAAAGTACAGGAACCAGGATTTAATCCCCAGTGCCACATGCTGCACAGTCCCCAAACTGGGTGTAGTGATGCATGCCTGTAATCCCAGAGCTGCAGAGGCTGAGACAGGAGGATCACTGAGTCCGAGCTGCGTAGTAAGACCCTGTACCAAATAAATAAAAGATTATTTATTTATTTTTTACTTTTTTATTTTTTGCCATAATTTTATTGCTAAACAAATAGCAATGAGACAGTTTCAAATCAAATCAGTAATAAAAGATTTTTTTTAAAAAATAGAAATCTTACATTCCTTGGGGAGACTGGTCTGTACTGTCCTTATTCCGCCTACCCAATATTTATGTGGTTAGGTACCAGGAAAATGATACTTGGGATGATACACAAAATCCTGGCTCACCAACACCTTACATTTAGAAAGGAACCTGTAACCAAAGAAAGCCTGTAACCAAAGTTGGAATAGGTATAATAGAAAATTAAAATTAGGTTAATAGAAAGTCTATTGGAGAAGAATTCTTTGAGAATGCCAAGCATAGACTGAATTTTGAATTGCCGATGTGAGAAAAGTGTAAAGGGAAAATAGGGGGCCCGGGGAAATAGTTCAGTAGAATAAGAGCTTGCCTGGTAAGTGCAAGGGCCTGAGTTCAATCACCGGGTCTACCAACAAAAAAAAAAGAAAGAAAAAAAAGGGAAAATAGGAATAAGTTGGGTTTGGGAAGCAGGCCGGTGTGGCTGGGGTTCAGCGGGCAATGGGCGAGAGGTCTGAAATAAAGTTGAACAGTTAGGTAGAGGCCAGATCATGCAGGTTGTATCTGGACTTACTTTCCACCCTCATTTTTTAAATTGTGGTAAATTATGTGTATAAAATTTCCATAGTAAGCTTTTTTTTTTTTTTTCCTTTTTTCGTAAGCCATTTTTAAAGTGTATGGTTCAGTAGCTTGTGCAGCCATCGCCACTATCCATCTCCAGAAGTGAAAGTTTGATGTTGAGTATGTGGAATTGAGGAGCCTTGGAGCACAGGATTAGTATCATCTGAATTTAAGAATAAAAGGAGTACTGGCTGCTAAATTGAGTATATTGTTATGGGGCAAAGGGTGGGAACAGATCAGTGAGGAGAATAGCATGGTAATTGAGATGAGAAGATGGTGATCTGCTTACTGAGGATGATAATATTGAGGGTGCTTAGAAGCTTTGAAATTGTGGGTAAGTTTTGATGGTAGAATCAATAGAATTTGCTGACTATTTGATCATGGCATATAAATGACCATTGCATAATAAAGCAAAGAGGATTCAAGAGTATGAAGTTTGTTAGTTCACATAACAGAGTTCAGGAGATGCTGGTTTGATATGTTTAATTTGACATGCTTCATAGATGTCTAAGTGGGTATGTTGAATAGGCTAAAGGAATCTGAAATCAGGTGGGGGACGTGACTTTGGGGCTTGCCAGCGTATGCATGGTAATTATAGATTGAATGAGAGATTGAATGATATCATCTAAGTAGTGAGTGTAGAAAGGGAGGATCCTTGGCTAAATTTGAGAGCAAGAGAGTTTACAGACAAAGGAATTGGCAAAAAGAAGTGGTAAGGAATGAAAAGTACCAACACAATGAAGTGCTAGAAGGGAAGAGACAAAAGTATTTCAAGAATGATGGCAAAATGACCAGCTGTGTCAAAAGCTCCGGAGAAGCCAAGACAACTGCTGAAAATTGTGCATTTCAGCATATTTTATCAATATGGAGTTCTTTGATGACTGTGACAAGTTGTTTCAGTGGTATTGCAGGTTCAGAAGCCTGGTTGAAGTGTGTTAGAGAAAGAAAAGAAGCAAAGAAAATGAATTATAAGGTTAGGACATTCTTCACTTTGAGAGACAGCAGGTTTGCACATAGCACTTTGTGATGCAGGGTGGTACATTTTGAAATTTGACTTGTAACAGGTTCATATGCCCATGTTCCATATTTCAGTATTTACAGTGTGTAAAAATTTTAAAAACAGGAGCTTGAGTAAAAAAATGTGTGGAAGATCTGAATAAGGACTTCATATAACATTTTAAAAACTGTATTCTTGGATACTTGAGTTTTTTAGGTAAATAGGTGTACCTTGGATCATACTTTTAAGTCAAAGCAGATACATGTTTAATTATAATATTTCTCTTATGTGAAAAACCCAAAAGGTAAATAAGGTAAGGACCAAAATAAATGATGGATATTGGGAAGTAGGATGAAAATATTCAAATAGGAAGAGAAACAGAGGAGGTAGGGAGTGGTAAGGAAAGGAAGGAAATTGGAAAACAGAAGGAAATAGAAGGAAAAAAAGTGGGGAAAAAAAAACTTTTGTAAATAAAGGCAGGAAGAAGGATTGAAGGGAGGTGAGGGGAATGAGGAAGAGAAGAATCAAGATATATATATATATATATATATATATATATATACACAAATACCCTGATGAATGCAATCACTATATCAAAATTGTACCAATAAAATTAATTTTACAGAAAGAAAAACCTTTTCTTAATCTAGAGTAATGAAATTCTGCCTATTGTAAAATACTCCTTTTTTTTTTTTTTTTTTTTTTTGCATAACCTGTTATTGAACTCAGGCCCTTGCGCTTGCCAGGCAAGCACTTATTCTACTAAGCTATCTCCCCAGCCCCCAAAATATTCTTTTAAAAAGAAACTTTTAGGTTTGGAGGAATTTTCCTGATGCTTTTCAAATTATATTATCTACTATTCACGTAAGATGGCCTTAGAATGTAACTTTCTTTTATCAGATGCTCTACCTTGAAATCCTTCAAATAAAGGATATTCCCTAAGGTATTTTCCACAAATGATTGGTGCCAACCCTCTTCAGAGAAAAAAAAATTTTAAAGGCTTTCTTGAAACTTTAGTTTATTTCAGAATATTTTTAAAAACAAGATACTTTAAACCAGACATGGTGGGGCATGCCTATAATCTCAGTGCTGGGGAAGCTGAGACAAGAGGATCACTAGGAGTCCCAATGTTTGTCAGTAATCATGATCTGTTTCTTTTGTAGGCAAAACCCAGAGACCACGTTTGAAGTTTATGTGGAAGTAGCCTATCCTAGGACAGGTGGCACTCTTTCAGGTACTTTGCATATTTGATTATAATTAGTGCGTTTCATTATTGTGTGGGATAGAGATGTATGTGAGACATTATATGGATAATGTGAATAACTTTAAGTATGTTTAAAGTCCTTCCTCAGCAACCTCCCATGTCTACATCATTGTCGGGAGAATAGAGAATAAAAGCACAGGGAATAATGTGAATTCAGTCAAAGTATGGTTTTACTCATTGTAATCATTAGGTCTTCCATCTATCACACATGCCTGAAGTCAACTTTTTAGTGTGAAATATCATTGTACCTTGTTAATGAGCAAGGCTTAGAATTAGATTATAGAATACAAAATAACAGAAAGGGAATTCTCTGCCACTAAAATGAAAAGGAAATACTTTAAATGGACATTTTAGCAAATCTTATATCTGCTGTAAGAGAAGATTGGGGACTGTGCTTCAGAAGGAAACACCTTCTTTATATCATCTATCTTAGTTATTTTCTTTTTTTGTGTGTGTGGTACCAGGGATTGAACTCAAGCCCTTGCACTTGCCAGACAAACATTTATTCTACTTAGCCAATTTTCCTTATCTAATTGTATATATATCCCTGAGTCTTAAATAAGGTTAGAGTATTTTGTGCAGGCAGTATATATCACTTCTTGATATAAAATCTGTCTTGGTTAATCAGAAAAATGACATGTCATCTAGTGTACTTTTCCTTGATAAGAAAGTGATACGATTTGCCAATTGTTAGAGACTTTTAATCTACACACACAAACACCTACCTGTATTATTTGGTGTGTAAGGAGAGAGAATTTATATTGAATAAGAACTTGGAGTAACCCAGATTCTAATGATAGTATACCCTTAATTGGTTTTACAACTTGGTCTTATTTTCTGTTTTGTTTTAATTAGATTGTAATAATCATAAACATAGCTACCTATGACTTTTGTTACCCTACCTGCTGGATATCTCTGTTGTCATCCTCACAAGATAGCTGTTAAAGATATTTATATGGCATCCTTATATCTATGCGACTATTGAATCTCAGAAAGGTGAAATAACTTAGGAAGTTCTTGTAACTATGTGTGGGATATCCAAGATTTTTGTTTCAAGTCCTTTTCACTCTAAGTTACCTTTTTTTTTTTTTTTGTGGTACCAGGGAATGAATTTAGGACCCTGAGCTTGCCAGGCAAGCACTTATTCTACTGAGCTATCTCTCCCGGCTGTAAGTTACCTTCTTGAGGTCAATGGCTACATCTTATGCCTCTTTGTGTTGCCTGCAGGGTGTTGCACAACCTCACCAATATTTGTTAAAGAGAAGGGATTTGCTTCATAGCAAATATGAATAACTGTATCTGTTGGGTTATCTCAGGAAGACTGTGAAACATATTACTAACATAATAATAACTTAAGGTTAATAATAATAACTTCAGGTTAATCCTGAAGTAGAAATTTAATACCTATGCTAAGGTATCCGTCTTGTGCACAGAGAGGAGGAACACTCAGTTTAGAAGTACTATATCTGTTAACCGGGTGCATATGTGTAGCAGCTCCTCCATGGATTGACTTCATCAAGTAACCAGCTGATGACAGTTACGATTTGTCAGATAAATTTAAGGACAACCATTTTTTGATTTCTACTGTTGCTAATATTTCTCCCTTTCAGCATCTTAGGATTTTCCTCTAAAGTTAAAATTAATTTTTCTGAGTACAAACAAAATTTGAAAGGCAGAAATGAGATGGAAGAATGAACTGCATGAAATCTTTATCTTACTCCCTTATCTGAGTTGTCTGATGCCTCTTTTCACAGATAGCTCTTCTTTTTAACTGCTTTAAGTTTCCCCCAACTTTTCGTTTTGAGAATAGTTTGAAAGAAAAAGCTTTAAGAACATATTCTTTCTTTGAATTCACTTCTTGTCACTTTCTGTTTTCTGGTGGTACTGGGTATTGAACACAGGGCCTTTGTGTTGAGCTACATCCATCCCTACACATTTTTGTTTTTAAAATTTGAGAAAAAGTCTTGGTTACTCACTAAGTTGCCCAGGTAGGCTTGAACCTCAATCTTCCTGCTTCAGCCTCTCAGAGTGTTGAGATCACAAGCATGTGCTGCCACTTCTGGCTTCTTTTTTGCCACACGTGCCTGCTAAACCAATTAGAGGACAAGTTGCAGATGTTATTGGTTGACCTTCATGCCTTAATATTCCAGGATATTTCTTCTAAGAAAAGCTGGGCATGGCTTCTCATGCCTGTAATCCCAGCATTTGGAAGGCTGAGGCAGAAGAAGCACTGTGAGTTTAAGGCCAGCCTGCACTATGTAGTGAGAACCTGTCTCAAAAAACTAAAAAGGGGGCTGGGGAGATGGCTCAGTGGAATAAGCACTTGCCTAGCAAGCACAAGGGCCTGAGTTCAATCCCTGATTCAAAAAAAAAAAAAAA